CAGGCCACCTGCGACCGCCGAGGACATTTATCTGGCCCACTGGGTGTTTTTGCCCCTGTTGCCTGTCCTGCTTAGCATCTGACTTGTCCCAGGGCTCACAGTCCAGCCCTCCAACAGTCTGAGGGACAGTGAACTGGCCCCCTGTTAAAAGTTTGAGGACCCCTTCACCTCACTGTACCAATAATTTTCTGTGTGTCTTTGGAAAAGTCACACAACTTCATGACTCTTTTCGTTTTTGAATAAGGTAAGCTCTTAGGTGTTTTCATTTTTATAATTTCTAGGGGTTTGTTTGTTTTGTTTTTTTGGCCGGGTCTGGATTTGAACCTGCCACCTCTGGCATATGGGGCTGGCGCCCTACTCCTCTGAGCCACAGGCACTGCCCTTTCCTTTTTTTTTACTAGTATCTAGTTCTAAGGTCTGAATTTACATATTCTAGATTGGTTTAAAGCAGTAAATTTCAGTCAGTGTACCGTGGTACGCTGGTGTGCCATGAGAGGATGTTAGGTCTGCTGCAAAATTTTTTGAAGATCATTAATTAAGTTATTTTTGAAAGAAGTTCAAAGCACAGTAAGTATATTCTTTTCTTTACTCTTTTTTTTTCTTTTTTGATCAACATGATTTAAGTGTGCCATGGAATTTTAACTATAGGTTTAAGTGTGCCATGAGATAAAAAAATGTTGAAAAACACTGGTTTAAAGGCTAGTACACAGTTTTCTCTTAGATAGTACCATAGCTTCCTCTCTATAGTAAATGGCTATGATCTAGGGTTTTTTTATTTTTTCTTGTTTGTTTGTTTTTTGCAGTTTTTGGCTGGGACTGGGTTTGAACCCGCACCTCTAATATATGGGGCCAGCACCCTACTCCTTGAGCCACAGGTGCTGCCCAGTGATCTGTTTTGTTTTATTTTTTTTTACCTTTTTTTGTAGAGACAGAGTCTCACTTTATCACCCTCGGTAGAGTGCCATGGCATCACACCTCACAGCAGCTTCCAACTCTTGGGCTTAGGCAATTCTCTTGCCTCAGCCTCCTGAGTAGCTGGCCCTACAGGTGCCTGCCATAATGCCCCGCTATTTTTGTTGCAGTTTGGCCAGGGCTGGGTTTGAACCCACTACCTTCAGTATATGGGGCTGGTGCCCTACCCACTGAGCCACAGGCGCCACCCATGATCCGATATTTTAAGTGCCCAGATAATGGATAATTCATTGGCAGTTTCCATAATGATTTCTGTTTTTCTGACTCCTTTAACAATGTTAGACTATTAGAGGATAATTTAATATTTTTAAATTGTAATAGTATTTGCTATTAGTGTTTGCTTATTTTATTATCCCCATAAATATTTATCAAAAACAAAACTGCTGGCTCAGCAACTGTAGCTCAAGCAGCTAAGTCGCCAGCCACATACACCTGAGCTGACAGGTTCAAATCCAGCCCGGGCCCGCCAAACAACAATGATGGCTACAACCAAAAAATAGCCAGGCAATGTGGCGGGTGCCTGTAGTCCCAGCTACTTGGGAGGTGGAGGCAGAAGACTTACTAGAGCCCAGGAGTTGGAGGTTGCTATGAGCTGTGATGCACTCTACGCACGCAGGGTAACAGCTTGAGGCTCTGTCTCAAAACAAAAAAACAAAACAAAACTGCTTTTTGTTTATTCTTAAAATTTCACATATAGAAAGTAGCAGACAATTTAAAATTTGAAGCATTGAAATATTTTTATAAGTTTTTTAGTAAGGTATTTGGCATATTTATTTTCAGATGTGATTAACATTATTGTAAATGTCATGAAAAGACCTTATAAAGGCACTAATTGTATATGGTACTGTTCACAATGCCTGTCTGCTCTCCAAGTGCTTCCACTGTATAGCAGGTACATTCATGAATTCATACATGTCAAGCCATAGACAAAACATTAAAAAATAGAACATTTCATACTAGAAATTGAAAACAAAAGTAGGGTCTATAACTAGAAAAAGATACCCACTAAGCAAACATTTTTTTTGATTGTCTCCCATGCAGAAAAGTGTGCTAAACACTGTAAGATAACAAAGAAAAATACAGCAATTCTTGCTTTCAGACACAGATAAATAGTTGTAGGTGGTAGATCGTTAATGTATGGTATAGACTCTGTATATGGTAGTGTATTCGGAGCTAAGCATCATACCTCCTAGTTCCACTAACTCTTAAAATACCATGTAGGTCTAGTAAGACAGTAGATTTCAATAATCTTTATATGGCTCAATTTGCTGGTTTGATCCAGTGTTTTAATAGAGGCGAATGTCAAGTTAGAGTTGAGATACAAAGGTAGGCCCTGACTACCCACATGACTGCATGCAAGTCTGGTTGGGTAAGAAAAAGCCACTACGAAGCTGGGCACAGAGACCTGTGTCCTTAGTTCCCTGCTACTTGGAAGGCTGAGGGGGGGAGGATTGCTTAAGGCCAGGAGTTCAAGGTTGTAGTATACTATGATGATCGTGCCTATGAATAGCCACTGTACTCCAGCCTGGACAACATAGCATGACCTTGTCTCTAAAAGTAAATGAATAAATTTATGGCAATAGGCTCAGCGTCTGTAGCTCAGTGGTTAGGGCGCTGGCCATATACATATGCTGAGGCAGGCGAGTTCAAATCCAGCCTGGGCCTGGTAAACAAC